GGGATATAGTTTTGGAGTGGTTGGTGCAATTATTTAATAAATGTATGGAAGAGGGTAAGGTACCTAGGATGGCAGAGAGCATGCATAGTTCCTTTGTATAAAGGCAAAGGGATAAAAGAGAGTGCAAAAATTATAGGGGGATAAGTCTGTTGAGTGTACCTGGTAAAGTGTATGGTAGAGTTATAATTGAAAGAATTAAGAGTAGACGGAGAATAGGATAGCAGATGAACAAGGAGGCTTTAGGAAGGTAGGGGGTGTGTGGACCAGGTTTTTTACAGGAAAACATATAAGTGAACGTATTTAGATAAGGCTAAAGGGGTTTTGTGGCATTTAGGATTTGGAAAAAGGGGTATGACAGGGTGGATGGGGGGGCAATGTGAGTTTTGCAATGTATGGTGTAGGAGGTAGGTTACTAAAAAGCAGTGAAGAGTTTTTCGAGGATAGTGAGGCTCAATTAAGTATGTGGGAAAAGGGGGGGGAAATTTTTTTCCCATAAAAGTAGGCCTTAGAAAAGGGAGTGTGATGTCACCGTGGTTTTTTAATATATTTATAGTGGGGTTTTAAGAAAAAAATCGAGGGTCTTGGCAAAGGTGGAGTTAAAGATAAAAAATCACACACAAAGGGGGATTTGTCACAGTTTTGCTCTTTGCTGAACACTTTTCTCTTGGAGATTTGAAGAGAAGTCAGGTTGGGGGATAAATTTGGTAGGGGTGCAAAAAAAGAAAATTAAAGGTGAATACGGAAAAGAGTAATTTATAGGATAACAAAAAATTAGGTGATGAAAGATTAAATATAAATTGGAGGGAAGGTATGGGGAGGTGAACGTATTCAGATATTTGGGAGGGGACGTGGCCGGAGGGGTCTAGAAAGATGGGGTGAATCATAGAATTGATGGGGGGAAAAAAGATGAGGGGTTGCACTTAGGAGTCTGTGGAAAAACAAAAAAACTTTGTCCTTGGGGAAAAGGGGGGAATGTATGAAGTATTTTTTTCCCCAACGCTCTTATAGGGGTGTGAAGCGTGGGGATGAATTTTTTGCAGCGGGAGAAGGCTGGAGGCAGTGGAGATGTCATTCTGAGGGCAATGTGTGGTGTGAATATAAAGCAAGAATTGAGTTTGGAATTTTGGAGGAGGTGCGGGATTACCAAAACTGTTTTCCAGAGGCTGAGGGAAAAGGGGTTTTTGAGGGGGTTCGGACATGTAGAGAGAATGGGGGGCGAAACAAATGACTTCAAAGTGTATCAGTCTGTAGGGAAGGAAGGCGGGGTAGGGGGCGGCCTAGGAAGGGGTTTGGGGGGGGGTAAAAGGGGGTTTTTTTTTTGGGGGGGGCTTGGGCTTCCAGCAGGCATGCGTGAGCTGTTTTGATAGGAGTGAATGGAGACAAAAGGTTTTAAAACTTGACGTGCTGTTGGGGTGTAGCAAAGTAACTTTATGAAGGGATTCAGGGAAAACCGGGGGCCGGACTTGAGTCCGGAGATGGGAAGTACATGCCGCACTCTGAAGGGGGGGTGTTAAAGTTGCGTTTAAAAACTGTAGTGTAAAGCACCCTTCTGGCAAGACAGTGATGGAGTGAATGATGGTGAAAGTTTTTCTTTTTGGGCCACCCCCCCTTGGGGGGAAACGGCCGGTTTTGATAATAAAAAAAAAAAAAAATTAATGTTTTTACTGTAAACACCTGGTCCCCCCCCTACCCTTCCTAAAGCCTCCTTTTTCATCGTATCCATTCCCCCGTCTACTCTTAATTTTTCAATTATAACTCACCCAACACTTTACCAGTACACTCAACAGATTATCCCCCTATAATTTTTTCACTCTCTTTTTTCCCCCTTTGCCTTTTACAAAAAACTTGCATGCTCTTGCCAATCCTAGGTACCTTACCCTCTTCCATAAAATTTTTTAAATATTGCACCAACCCCCTCCAAAACTATATCCCCACCTGTTTAAAATTTCTACTTTACCCATCAATCCCGGGGCCTTACCCCCTTTCATTTTACCTCTGCCTCACGAACTTCCCCCCCTCACAAATGGCTCTTCCTCACTCCTAAAGTGTTATTCCTCCTTCCCTATACACGAAATCACAGCTTCCCTATCTTCATCAACATTTAACAATTCCTCAAAATTTCCCTCCATCTTCCCAATACCCCTAACTTCCATTTAATAACTTCCTCTCCTATTTTTTTAAATGTGTTCCATATTAAAAAAATTGGGTCCGGGCCCATATGCTTTTTTTTTTCCTTTTAAAAAAAAAGATTTTTTTTTTCCCAAAAAAAATTTTGGGGGCGCTACCAGTGAAGTATATATCTTTTTGGCCCTTTTTAAAGGGGTTAAGTCATACTTTGTCCTTTGCTGTCTTTAGCGGGTTAATTTTTTTTTCAAACTGCAAGAACCTGACCCTGTAAAATTTTTTTCCCCCACAGCAGTTTGGTTGGTTTTCAACAACATTTGAATGCCAAAGAAGTATGCCAAAAAGGGCCCCTTTGTTGGGGGTCAAAACGGCAGGACCAAGACATCTAGTCACTGGGACAGGGGGTTGGTTTGACTAAAAATTGAAATTTTATTTCTAATTGTGCATCTGATGGCAAACAGGTTTTATTTTTCCCCTCCCCACTTTTTAATGCAGGGGGCCCGAAAGATTCTTCCTTTTAAAGAAAATGAAGAAATGTTGCTAAAATTTTAAAGAGAAAACCCATGGGTTTCAACTAGTTTTTCTAAAAGTAAATTGGGTTAAAAATCACAACAGCAGTGGTGTTGGCAAGGCAACTTCCCTTTGCTCAATTGAACTGGATAGTAAAACAAATGCCAGAACTGGCCACAGAAAAATCACTTTAAATATAAGTGAATATTATCACAGCTATGAACTAAATAACCTTTCTCTTGATCATTTAGTCTTAAAATAGCAGATTGAATCTACATATTAAACTCCCTTTAATGCAACTTCTCTTCCCTCGCTCTTGAAAAAAATGTAATATTACGTAAGACAAAATAGAAAAGGGAGCAACAGTGACTTGCGGGGCATTGGCCAAAGCTGGGGTGTGCCCCGAAAATCCAAAGGTCCTGTAGTGCTTGCTGCCCTTGACCTCCTGATATCGCTGCTGAGCAGCACCCCACCCCTTCGACCCCCAGTGTGGGGGGTTTTTTGGGACCCAAGGTGCCTAGCTTCTCCCTCGAGCCCCGTGGGGGCAGGGAATGGGGTGGGCCCGACAAAAAGCTGGTCCCATGATAAGGAGGTATTTGTCCCTCCCCCAGGGCAGACGTTGGTCTGAGACCTCTCACGACGGGACCAAGGGCCAGGCCACCTTTTGGAAAAAGGTGGGCCCCGGAAATTAAATCCAGCAAATTACAACAACTTATTTGGCCCATCTAGGTAGGTCTCAAACCTAACTATTTTCACTTTTTTGTCAAACCTTTTTTGAAGTTTTCACTTGGGTAGATTTTTTCAACTCGCCTGCAACTACTGACTTTCCTATCTTTCCTATTTCCCCCAGTCTCCCCCTTTTCTTACCACCCCCTTCCTCACTTCAACTATTGTGACAAAAAAACCCTCAAGGATACTCGTGAATAAAATTAAATTTTTGAAGGTTCCCAAACACTCTTCAGGCATTTGATTTGTGGCAACAAAGGGAAAAGGATTGGTCAAGCTTTTCACATTTCTTTAGTTCTTTGCATTTTGCCTCCTCAAGACGAATATACTCAACATATCTTCAAATTTTTGGTCGTAATCTAATGTTATCCCCTTTATATAAGTTAGAATAAACCATTGTAACCTTTCTCCATTTTTTTTGCTTATAACATTTTAAAAAGAAATTTTAATAAAGAAATTTCTCTGTATTAGATTTTTCAATTATTGTTAAAAACACAGCAAATAAATATGTTACGCCTTTATTTTTCAATAAATACTTTTTCAAAATTTTTCCCCTCCTTCATTTCAGGGGGTCCTTTATTACTGGGAAAAGGGTCTGTCCAAGGGGTTGGTGTATCTTTTTCTTCCGTTATCCAACCGATTACATCCGTTCCCAGGGACTTAAAACTCCTATGGGTTTAGCACCCGCTTCCCCTCATTATGTGAATTTCAGATCTTTGAACGTGTTCCCCCAAACACCCAGTTATTTCCAGAAACATGTTTTTCCCAAACCCTAATGTATCTTATCTCATTTAATTTATTCCTTTTTAAATTTTATTGAAACACAGTGTACTACTGTGATTACCTCTTTTCTTTTACTCCCATTTCCTTTTCTCATTCCTTATTCATTCCCCCAGCTCCATTTTTTCTTCACACCCAATCTCCCAAATTTGAATCTCTCCCATTAAAGACGTACTCGTTTCTGACGACCGGACGTATGATGGGGTCTCTGCCCATATGCAAAACCAAAAAATGTACATTAGAGCGATTTTTCCCCTATTTGTTTTTTACAAAATACGTCATACTGTAAAACTTTAAAAATATACAGAAAAGTTATAAAAGGGCAAAGGGACATTAAAACAATACCCAAAAATGGTTGACACAAACCAAATACCCTTATAGAATGCTCCTTGTTAGTGATGAATTTATATACTGATGTAGTCTTTGGGAAAGGAACTCCATGTTAATGAGGAGAGGCTTCGTGTGCCCCACTTCTAACCAGCCCCCCCCCTCCCCTGGTATCTGACACAACACTTTTTACTATGCTCTCTTACTTCCTCACTTTTTTTTTGTTTAGGGATTAAATGCCATGGTTAGGGAATGATGATGTTCTTACATGCCCAAGTTTATATGAGAGGAAGGATTACTTCTAATACATTTGATTTTTAAAAGTCATTAGCCAAGTCTGTTGGGAAAATATTCAGCACGCTGAAAAATCACATAAAATTTTTTTTCTCCCATATTAGGTTTTTTAGTAACTTCTTTCTTAGCTAATTATTTAAATTTTTACCTTTTAACTTTGTATACAGCCTGCAAAAGAAAATTTTAAAAATTTAACATTTTTTAAATTAAACAGTGGATTGAAAAGTTGAAGAGGGGCAATGGGGTTTCAAAGGGGAAAACTAATTTTTGAAGTTTTCTATCAAAACCCCTACCCGGGGTTCCAAACTCACCATCTCCTTGCTAAGATTCTCTACAGGTAGTTTGATGCTTGGTTCGTGCAAAGTAAATTCCATCCATATCTGTTTGATATTTCAGGATTAAAAGAGGTACATAAATTTTAATCACCCAGTTCCTGAAGAAAAAATACACGCTGCATTATACACATTCTGTATTTCGGGTCTCTTGAACTTACACAAAATCATGGCACAGTATATTTTTCTTCATATTTCATTCACTGAAGATAGACTGAAGAGTGGCTATGTTACTCTGTGATTGCTGTAATTTGAAAGGTTTCTGATTTTTTTAATTGCATTTATGCAATATTTCTTTCTGGAATAAGGGCATGCTAGTTAGTGCAAACAACTTGTGTAAAAATTTGAACACATACCCTGTAGTAAAATAATCATTCATTGTATGAATAAACTTGATGCAGTATGGCTTTGGAAACATGGCGTGTGTTATTCAAAGAGTGTCTAGGTGGACGAGGAGCACAATACTGTGATGAGGTTGCACCTCTACTAGTAGCTGTAGACCAAGGAGTTAAACCTTCTCTTTTATGGGACGTTTGTACTGCAGACACCTCAGCTCTGCTTGCCCTTCTCAACCAGGCAAGATCAAAGAGCCTTTTAGTGTCAAAACTTGTCTTAGTGGAATTAGGCCTCGATGTGTTCATTGTTAACATTGCTGCTGTAATCCGTACTCTTGGTGGCATAACAGGAGCACCACCTACCTGGATAATTGACATAAGTTGTGCTACACCCAAACTGGGTAGTAGCGAGATTCATCAAGAATTTCGTACACACCTGAATTCCATTATTGCTCAGCTGGGTGTTGCCACTCAAGAGAATGAAGAAAGTTCAACATTAGATTCAGCAGGCACACACCCTCAGAATGGCATTGATGGTACTGCTCTTGCTAATGCTCCAAGCACAACTTGGAATTCAAGTACAATCAAAGCAATACAAATAAAGTTGCCAGATGATCTCAACCTTAGCACTATATTTGGCTGTCTGCTTGGTTATCCCCATATTTATTGGTGGGAAGGTGAATCTGGGGGCAACAGTCTTTCTGGCATGCCGCTCAAAGTATTTAAACTGAGTGCTAATTGCTCCATTGATGGCTCTGTTGCAGAATTGTTTTCCTTCAGTATCCCTGAAGCTTTGGAAGGAGACATACGGCCAGGAATTGAACACTGGGGAAATGTTGTCAATGTTAGGATTGAGCAAGCAGGTAGCTTTTCAAATGCAAAATTCAGATGTGATTCAGTCCTGTGTCTTTCTGTTGCATTATAGAAGACTCCCACCCAATTTACTTGTTGTATTCCTATCATGGAAGAGTTTAATATAGAGACAAAGTTAAAGCATTATTAGAAAAATATTACATTAGATGTGGGTGAAAGTCTAAAAAATAGTATTTTTTTGTGCACTTCATTTATTGCTTGATAATTCTGCTGTGACTGACAAAATTGCAGGAGCAGATCTGTTTCTTAAATAGCAAAGTAATAAGATATTGAATAAGAGGTATTAGAGAAATGAAAAGGATTTTTTACAGATTTGTCAAATCAAAGTGAATGAAACAGTAAGAATGTTAAAAGTGGAAAAAGTATCTGGGTTGCACAGCATTAAAAAAGATATCCTGAAAACAAGTGGTGAAAATATGGTGGAATGGGTGGTACATTCTTCAATGCAAGTTTGAATCAAGAGAAGGCACTCTATAATTGTCAAAGTATATATGTGCTAGGGCATTGTATCAAGAGTATATTGGTGTTGATGTTTATGTATGGGTGGGAAGCATTGTCTTATGAAGGTTGTAGTAAGGAGGAGGCTGGAGGCAGTGAGAGGGAGGGAGGTGTAATGTGGAAAAATTAGGCATTGAATTGGCAGATGCTTGAAGAATATTTTTCCTTTTATTTTGCAGCTTATCTTTATATTTTCATGTGTAGGGCTTCCAGGGCAGTTTTAGGTGGCTGGGACCAGGCAGTATTACTGCCTTTATATGGTGTTTATGATTACATGTATCATTCTGAATTAGTATGTTCTTTTGCCTCCTTTTTTCATTAACCGGTTGTGATTTGCTGGAGACTTCATTATTTCTCTGCAATTTATTTATATTGATTGAAATATAGTATATCCTTTGTGATGGCATTTAATATTGTGGTCATTTTATTATACTCTTATGTAAATATGTTAATGATTTAATTTAAAATTGTAATTGCTGTTACATAGCAATAATAGTCACTTTCACATATCTAAAAAGAATACTCAGTGAGGAATTACTATATGTACAAGATAGAGCTTAAAGAATCTTCATAATCATTGTTTTCATATTGCTGGCACAGAAGAATAGTTTTATGGTGCATTAGTTTAGCTCTATTGAATTGTTACACTTGGGAATCCACATATTTTTGTATCACCTCAGTGTCAATACTATACCCTAATTGGAACATATCTTGTAGCATGCCATGCAGTTAGTGATTCATGCCCTTCATTAATATCAAATAAATACTGCTACTCATTCATGGCATGATTTTGGCTTTTTAGTTTACAGAGTATAAAATCAAGTTGCAAGGCCTTTATATAGGAGGAGGTGGTAATGTTATACAGATCTCTGCTGTACAAACATTCCAGAATTACACATGTCCGCATTTACAAACAGGATACTTTGTAATTAAAGTTTTTTCAGCTGCCAAGCCATAGTATGAACAGGTGGAACATAACCGTCCTTTGTAACAATGTTGGTAGAATTACCGACAGTGCTAGGCAAAGGGACGACACTTGTACAACTTAAACAACATTTTATTGTGGCATAAAAATGTTGCAGTAAAATGTCATATCAGTTGCAGATACATATATCCTTTTGCCTAACCATCCTTGTTAAATGTTATCATCTTCTAAACAAGTAACTAATTTGTAAGTCGGATAACCAGGAATGCAACTCATTTGTGAGTTGCTCTACATCCTGTCCTGTAATGAGGATTTATCGAAGTTAAGCTACATACAATATATATGTATTGTTTTGTTGAAACTGAAGACTCAAATTCTTGTATAATTCAGTGTCATTTTAATTAATAAATCTACATATGTGTAATAAAGTTGGCTATGTATATGTGTAGTTTCACTTGCCTTGGGTTATTACAGACATGGAAGTGTACAAGAAGCTTGGAATCATGCATGTCTTGCTCAAGTGGAATGTCCACGAGACCCAAATGCTCAAGAGACTCGAAGCAGATTGACCAATGCTTTAGTTGACCGCTGGCACCTGCCCATGCTGAATGACTCCACCCGAAATGCTGCATTTAAACTTGCTATTGAGAAAGCCGTGGAGGAAGGGCATAACAGTGTATTGGATATAGGATCTGGCACTGGCCTACTCAGGTTAGTTGAGATAATTTATGCATCTTTTCCATCATCCTGGTTCAAAAACAGTAGTTGTTTTAGTTATTATTCATTCCCTGTATTAAACAATCTGATTTTTCTCAGGAAATAAATAAGAGTTAATCCCCTTGTGGCAATTTTTCCAGGTTCAATACATAAAGGGATCGTATTCTTTATCAATGGCTTGAGCTGCAGAAACTGAGCATTGTCCCTGTGTGTTTCCATGCAATGAGAAATATTTCTGCTCACCTTGAAATTGAGCTTTTACCTGGAGTTGTGGCCCACAGTACATTTCACAAATCACTGAAATGGAAGGTTGAGGTCTAGAACTACTGAGTCAGTCAGCTGCTCCTATTTGACTAGGTTCAAGTAACTGCCAGACCCCCTAAGAACTAACTAACTCTTTGTTTGGGAGATGATGATTTTCACTGATAGCTTGAACAACATTGGCTATAACTTCCCTTAACAAGGTCATCACAGCCTTGGAATGCTTAACAGAGTGCTTTCCCAGTCATTCACTATACTATATGGAGATCCATATATTCCTCATCTCTACCTTCAATGCTACCTTGATGCTGTTTAAAGGCTGTCAGTCCAAGAAACTGGAGCAGGCCTTCCCGTTTCGTATCTTGAATTTGATTAACCCTTATTCCCCAAGTGCTGTAAGATCCATATGGGTTTAGCACTTCATGAATATCATAATGATACTCGAGAACCCCACTGGAAATAAGTCACTGACTTTTTTGGAGTATCCTACATTTATCATACTATGTATGATAATTGTACTTTCATGTACCTGTGCCTAAATAAACTTACTTATTTACTGTAATAATGATCCTTGTTATAAAGAAATGGAGCTACTCTCCTATTCCCTAGGCACTGTATGGCCCTTGTGTGTTTAGCACTTCCTTGTCAGTATGATAATATTTTAAGAATATGCTTTAAATTATAGCTTTGTGCATCTTCCTCATAAGAAATTAATTTTTTTTTTAACCATAAGATTAATGGCATGAATGGGGAGGGGAAGAACTGAGAGAAGATAGAACGAAAATGGTTATGGGTAGACAGAAAGACAGATAAAAAAAAGGTAATGACCCCTTTGCATGGGTTTCAATTTAGTATTTTTTGTCATATAGTGGTGTCTGCTTATATTGCAATGTATTGCAGCATTCTTGCCATGAGGGCCAATGCCAAGAAAGTGTATGCCTGCGAAGTAGATAAGTTTATGTGTGAGTTATCCAACAACGTTCTTCAGTCTAATATGGTCCCACCGGGTGTTTGTGTGCTCAATCAACACAGCAAAGATATTGTCATCCCTTCACACATCCCACAAAGGTAAGCTAATTAAACATCTACACTGTTCATTAATAAAAGCAAATACAGTAGCTGTTTCACTAAAATAACCCACAAGATGGAAATGGAAAAGGGGATGACGTTTTAGTTCATTCTCGACTATTATCAAGTCACGGCTTAATAATTGTTTAACCCCTTGATGCCAGTGAGGGCTCTTAATACAATGAATGAGATCTGCCCTTCATTTCCTTAGATTGAAACTGATTTGCTTCCAGACCTCCAGGCCTTGTATGACTCCTACAGGTTTAGTGCTATCCCCTATGAATGTAATAATATTTGATAATGACTCAAGACAGACCAAAACATTGTCTAGTTTTCAGTTTCAATTTGTGAGTTACATGTGAAATGTTACGGCCATGATGTTTTGACTCAGGCATATCAGGAAGAGGGGATGCCACTTGTAGCTGCAGGTTTCCTGTCCATTTCAAGGCTACAGAGATGGTGGTCGAAGGTAAATATTGCATGTACAGCATAAAAAATAATTAAAAACACATGGTTTTTTATTCATTTTGCTTTTGAGGTTGGTTTATCAACACAATTCTCATCTTCCATGTGTTCATACAAAATTAGTAATTAGAGAGAAGAATAATGTTATATTCCATGGGGAAGCAGAGAAGAAACCTTTCTCTGTAAGTCATGCATATCATAAGAGTCGACTAAAATGCCAGGAGCAAGGAGCTAGTAATCCTTTCTCCTGTATAAATTGTTAAATGTAAAAAGAAGAATTACAGTGGACCCCCGGCTTACGATATTATTTCATTCCAGAAGTATGTTCAGGTGCCATTACTGACCGAATTTGTTCCCATAAGGAATATTGTGAATTAGATTAGTCCATTTCAGACCCCCAAACATACACGTACAAACGCACTTGCATAAATACACTTACATAATTGGTCGCATTGGGAGCTGATAGTAAAGCGGGGGTCCACTGTATTTTTTTTTTTTTTTTTTTTTTTTGAGGTCACTTTGCCTTGGTGAGAGATGGCTGGTGTATTAAAAATAATAGTTATAATTTTTAAATTTACTTTTACTCGTTTTCTCTCTTTTCTCAGGGTAGCATTAGTGGTAAGCGAGACAGTGGATGCAGGGCTATTGGGAGAGCACATCCTCTCAACATTGCAGCATGCATGGAAACATCTTTTATTGCCACCAAAGTCATTAGTAACCCCCAGTACCTCAGATGTTATGCCATCATTTATTCTGAAACCAGAAACCTCAGATGTGTCTGCAGTTGCAATGCAAAATAGGTCTACTTCGGAAACATGTGTAGACTACGTGGTAGGTGCTCATAGAACAAATATAAAACAGGGACATGTAAAAACTACAGCTCCAGATAATCTGGCAATAGGTAAGGAAACTCTACACCATAAGAGAGAGAACTCTTCAAAGTTTGGAAGAGTAATTCCTTCTAAGGCTGAAGTGTTTATAGCTCTTATTAGCTGTGATTACATAGCAAAGCAAATTAAGGTCAACAGACCTGATTTGTCCTATTTCACAAATAAAACTGTTTGCATTAAGCTTCAAGAGCCATATATGTCAGAGAAACTTAATCAGGTACCTGGAGGTTTTAAACTGCTGTCACACTGGACTCCTTTAACTACAATAGATTTCAATTCCCCTGATGACATAGAAAAACACCTCACTGGAGAAGTAGACAAAACTTTAAAACTACAGTGCATAGAGTGTGGATCTCTTGATGCCATAGTTCTTTCATTCAAACTTTATTTAGATGAAAAACTTTGCATTGATACTTTTCCTGAGCCAGGTACAACACTGTGGGAGAATGCTGTGTACCCAGTTTTAAATCTGATAAGTGTTGATACTCATAGTATCATTGCAATTGACTTTAAATGTACAGGTGTCATACAGTTGTCATTACAGAGGAGTTCTTCAAATTTAAAAAATGCAAACTATCTTTATCTCACTGAAGATGCCATAAGATTTTTAAACAGTAAGAATGTTGTAGATTCTTTTCTCTCAGCCTCACAACAGATAGTTATTAACCTTCAAGAACCAAGAAGTGATAAACGTGATAGAGGTCATCAGCTAATTATATGTGACAAAACACCGTTCCCCCTAGCTGGTCTGGCTGTACTGTCAGAGTTTCCAAACTCTAAGCTATATGTAGAGAATGATGAGATAAAGAACATCCTACAAGAATTAGGAATTACTGCTTATGATTTTGAAGATTTGGAAGAGAAGATAGATGTCTTGTTCATGTGGCCAGTAACAAGAGAAGGGACACTGAAGGATGGGCTAGTGAAAAACATTTTTATGAACAGGTATGATGGAATTAAGTATTTTTAGGTTCTGGAATTTCAAAATCATTTTTCCAAGTTCATATTTTCACTATGAAAAAAATATTTAATGATACACATGTGTGTGAGACACTTGTATAATGTACAATAGTTGTACTAACTAAAAACACTCCATCAAATTTTTCTAACCATTTATTTTGAGAATAAAACTTCCATTTAGCAAACTAATTTTTCTTTTTTGCACATGGCAGGTTAATGATGGGCAGAGATTGCCAAGTGTATCCACAAGAGGTAGATCTCATCATGAGCCTCATCAGCTCTCCAGTGCTAGCAGCCATGACTTGTGTGGATGATACAAACACATCCGGTGTCAAGATAGCAGAGATCTTTAACATTGTTAAGGTGAGAATTTCTAGTGTGTGTGTGTGTTCACATGCATGCATTGTATGATCCATGTGGGTTTAGTGTTTATTTGCTAATGTAATAATAATGCATGAATTTAATGTAATTCACAAAACAAATATTTACACTAGAGAAAAGTGACATTGACACACTTAAGCAGTTATCACTTTATTGTTTAATTATTGCATTTTTATTTTTTGACATTAAGATGTCCCTCTCCTTATAGTTATCACAGTTGTTTTTCTTGCTGCTAATGGTCTTCTACAATAACTTTATTATTATTATTATTGGAAAGCACTAAACCCATATGGTTATTTGGTACCACAGCAAGAGTGAGATAGTAGAGAAGTGGGGTGTTGAGGGGAGGACATCAGCAGAAAGGGAGTGAATATCACAGTTGATGTAGCAAATTGGTGTCATAGAGATTATTATTATTATTATTATTATAATCATAACCAAGTGTTAAACCCATAAGTCATACAGCTCTGCAGGGTACGGTGTGCTAAATATGCCTGATCAGAGACCAGCAAGGGTGAAGAGTTAACAGAGGTAAAGTTAGGAAGGGCGGTGAAGAGTGTTGAAGGAAATATAATCAAAGTTGGTGTAATAAAGCTGTTTCTGACAAAAATTCAGAGGGAGTAAAGTCATATTTTTTGATTAAAGATGAGAGCACATAGGAAGCATGTCAGGGCAATGAAGTGTGCCCAAAATGAAATAGGTGTGCTCTCTAATGAACAAGACAATAAGATGTTGGATTGTCAGCAATACTTGACAATCCTCACAGTGGTGCCAGTTCTCCTTCATGAAATCATCATGTATGAATCTGGTGTGACTACCAGTTTTCCAAAGCTGATAGTGATGACAAAAGAATAGTTAGAAGACTACTTGTAGTTTGTTTTAAAACTGCGTGTTGGGCACTAATGAAGACCGCTAACACTCCCAGCAGTTTCACAGTTGTTAGTATTGGAAAATAATTAGAGAATGGCAATTGCCTGTATGAGGTATGCACTGCAGAATGCACCACAGAATCTGCAAGCTCATTTTCCTAAACACCAGCATGCCAGAGAACCAACAAAAGACTGCCTTTTTATGTCTAATGATGCAGTAGCTGGCATTTAATGTAAATGAGGGAATATGAAGAGTCAAAGGTCTGAATTGCCTGAGATACGCTTTGAAAGGCTGGGACTACAACTGATGATGAGTTTGATGTAATAGCAGTGTGAATGACAGCAGCAAGAAGATTGTATATGTAATTCTAATTCCAGTGTAAAAATACAGGAGGGCCCCACTTTATAGCGTTTCGCCAATACAGAGGTTTTCAATTATACCCATTCTTTGTTTATTCATACCTCCTACAATAAATATATTCACGACTCACTACAGTATAGGTATAAGCTAAGGACAAAAATATTTTAAGGTAAGTAATGCATGTACTGTATGTGCATTTTTTAGGCCTAGCTATATTGCTCACTTAATATATGATAATGTAAACATGTTATCAGAGCTGAAACAAGGACATTGATGGCAGTTAGAAATAAGTTAGTGCAGAGTACACCACCTAATTAATGGTCCAAGTTGGACTCAAACATCATCATAAGTTTCATTGTGCGGGTTATTTGTGTATTGTTACAGTCATGATGTAATGCCTTTTTATTCTTTATACAGCCCTGCAAAATCTGGTGAAAGGCTGCTGTTGACTCAAACACAAATCTGTCAAATATACAGTATTGTATTGTATATTATGAAAAGGCAGTAGCAGGTACCGAGGCTAAAATTAACTTATAACAAGATGAGATTTTTGCCATCTTGAGGCCAAAAACAAGTCTTTGTAAGATGCCTTACATCATAGACATGTAGCATGGCATATCTGTATTTTTAATACAGTAAACACTTAAAATTCACATACAGGCGAGCCCTGCTTTATGGTGTCTCACTAATACGGACATTTAAAATTATACCCAAAAATGTTTTTATACAGCTCCTGATTTGCTATTACGGCATCCACATCTGCGTGTCACTCTGTTAGTTTACATCCTCTCTGAGTTCCACATCTCTCTTGATTGTCTTGAAATTTTCTGAAGTTGCAAGTTAGTTATGCCCGTATTTTATATATGCTCATTTTGTCTTATAGTGACATCTATGGGTAGCTGTGAAAAAGTAAGAGGTTTACGGCTCCTCTTTTTTAAGTGTAAAAATTAGAAATGATTTAACTCAATGAGTAAGGTATGTCTGTGGCTGAGATAGTACAGAGATATTACTGATAATTATTGTACTTATATGTATGTACCTGTACCTGTGCTGGCATGCAGGTACATTAAAATCACTATTTGAAGACGCAGTAACATAATGAGCATAATAATCGCTTGGGGACTTTAAATGTGATAATATGTTGTTATAGACATTTTCAATAATCCATCTGTGATTTTTTTTTCTGAACTATTTAAGAAACATGTTACATATCATATAAACATAATACAGAGAACCATACTAGAACAAATTAACATAATTGTGAGGTATGGTAGCCAGGCTTATGTAAAGGAGTATATGACACTAATTACTCTAACACGTTTTCTCTAGTACAACACCACCAGAGAAACTGTGTATAGTATTACTGGGGGGGGAACTGTAGAAAAACATTCTTTTTGTACACCTTCACTCATAGCATCATTTGCTCAAAAATGTGTGTGTTGAATGAGAATGGGAGTGTTGGTTATGTATTTTACTGCATAAACATGTAAATTACCTGTACACAATGTTAAGGTGTTTGTACTGTGGGGAAAACGCTTCACAGATGTATGTATAATGTGAGATGAACACATATTAACAGCCAGTGGACATGTCTGAAATATGTGTTCATGTAAATTTGACCACCCACCCAAAACACTGACACCATATGCACATTTATGGAGCACCTTTCCCATAGTGTTTTATAATAATAATGGGAAGTACAATGCCTGCACTCTAAAGGAGGGGTTTGGGATATTGGCAGTTTGGAGGGATATATTGTGCATTTTTATACGTATACCTTTGATATACCTTTAAAGAATTTCGAGAGTATATCTACTCTCTGAGCCTGGCCATGGGCCAGGCTCGTCTGGTGCTCGCCTGGTCAACCAGGCTGTTGCTGCTGGAAGCCTGCTGCCTTACATATCCATCACAGCCTGGTTGATCTGGCACCTGGTGAAGATACTTGTCTAGTTTCCTCTTGAAGGCTTCAACACTTGTTCCAGCAGTGTTTCTGATATCTTCTGGTAAGATGAAATCTGGGACCCCGAATGTTGATACAGTGTTCCCTTATTGTCCCCATCGCACCCCTGCTCCTCACTGGGTTTATTTTACACTTCCTCCCATATCTCTCACTCCAGTATGTTATGGCAGTGTGCAGATTTGGGACTAAGCCCTCGAGTACCCTTCCAGGTATATATTATCATGTACCTCTCTCTCCTCTGCTCCAATGAGTACATGTTCAAGACTTGCAGGCATTCCCAGTAGTTTAGGTGCTTTACTGGCTCAATGTGAGCTGTAAACGATCTCTGTATTTGTTCCAGCTCCGATATTTCTTCTGCCCTGAACGGGGCCGTCAGCACTGAGCAATATTCTGAGGGAGCACTAGCGATTTGAAGAGTGTCACCATCGGCATTGTTTCCCTTGTTTTGAAAGTTCTCAATACCCACCCAATCATCTTCCTGGCTGTTGTGATCTTTGTCTTGTTATGGTCTTTAAAAGAAAGGTCCGCTGACATAATTGTTCCTAGGTCTTTTATGTGTTCCTTACATTCTATTTGGTGACCCTCTTGAGTTTTGGATATAGTGTTACTTTTGAGTTCTTCATTCTTTCCATACCTAAGCATACTTCTAAACTGTTGTATTCTGGGCACCTCTGCAAAAACAGTGATTATGTGTGAGTGAGGTGAAAGTGTTGAATGATGATGAAAGTATTTTCTTTTTGGGGATTTTCTTTCTTTTTGGGTCACCCTGCCTCGGTGGGAGACGGCAGACTTGTTGAAAAAAAAAAAAAAAGAATAATGATTATTTCTACAAGTGACCTTCGGTGTGTTGCTGTGAGCTCTTCAGTTCCATCCGGAAATTTTCTAAAATTTCAAGTGTTTTAAAGTTACTGTGTATGTTATATATACTATTTTTGGGTTATGATGGCATCTAAGGAAAAAGTGTTGGAAGAACTTAAAATTGCTACACCAGTGAACACTAAAGTTATAAGAAAATGTGATAACCTTATTGTGGACATGGGAAAACTTTTACTGGTTCTGTGAAGGCTGAGAGAGGTGAGGAAGCTGCTGAAGATAAATTGAAACCTAGCAGAGGTTGGTTTCATCTCCTCCTGACTTCCTACAAAACTACTCGCCTTTCACCCTATGTTAAGACCAAAAATATAAAGCTGATGAATGTACTGTATATGCATTTTACTTTTTTAGGCCTAATTCTGTTGCTAACTTGATGTATGATAGTGTAAACATGTTATGAAGCTTTTATATGCATTTAAAAGTGAAAAAAAGGGTCTTTCACTTTAGAACGGTAGCCTCAAACCTGACCCGTCCTATAAGCTTGGTCCTACTGTATACATCAGTATCTTGCTATGATTTTCCATTATTAAGTGTTTTCAAAGCAAAATTCTATTCTGTAAAACAAAAATTTATTCTCTACTAAATGTCATTTATTAGTCTTCAGTCTATTATTATAATCAAAACTAAGTGCTAAACCCACAAGGGAATCTTCAGCCTAGACAATTTTTTTCAGTTTCATCTTTTATGATTCGAATGATCCACATATTCTCATCCATTATTATTATAATCAAAAAGAAGCGCTAAGCCACAAGGGCTATACAGGTATTCTCATCCAGTTCTCCATGTATTGGCAGTTATGGTTATTTAGGCTTATGTCATTAGGTTCTTAACTCTTATAAATTTAGTGAAATCCATATTTTTAGTATATTCAGATTTCTTTTATCATAAAATAATCTGCTGTATAGATTTAGGTTTAAAT